TCTATAATTGTACCTTCGTATTTGCCAAGAACAGCGTTAGTTCGAAGGAGAAAGCCGATGACGTGGAATATTAAAGGTGGAAATATGTGTGCTTGGCGAACTCCATAATTAATAGGAAGCTATCAGTTGGCCATTATTCATCTTTAATGATTTAGGTATCTAATTATTTTACGTTTTTCTGCATTTTTGCATCAGTGTGTAATCCAATCCGGTTTTAAGCTTGAAACGGCTGACCGAATCTATCGAAATTCTAAATCTATCGGAATCCGAATCTACCGGAAAGTGGCTGACCGAATCTATCTGTCACATTGACACTGCTTAGTGATATTGTACAAGCGAGTTGATTTGATTCGAGCAGAAATAACAGCCTGATTTAAACGCGGTTTTTCATTCACCTGCTTTCTTCCGTTTTCACAACATGTTGGAAAGATGGTATTCCAGCTGAGTTGACGGTAGCGTAACACAACGCTAGTTTGAGCAGTCGGCTGCTGCACTCGTTCAGATATAGACGCAGTGGTACTGCTTTTCCGTTCTTTAATGAAGTTTTCTGTTCTCTGTATTTGCTGGTAGAGAAAGTTAAACTGTTCTGTTTTTCCCTTTCCTCTGCATGGTTTCATGACCAATCAATGCTTCAGTGCTGTCTTTGCCTGGTTTCTCTGAATTCTAACCTTGCAATTGTTCCTCTGCAAAACCTAGCTAAAGTCACGTCCGAGCATTAATGCTGTTAAGGCTATGCGCTAAATCATTTAGATATTCTTTAAAGCGTAGTAGGAATTTGTTTCGTGTTGAGGGCTAAGCAATTTATCTGTTGCACGGTAAGTATATTGCACGTACGGTTCGTATATTATCTTTGATAAATGCTATTCGATGTGTCTGTTTGTACTGTTATAATGAGTCATTCGTTTATTTGTTTTGAACCAGCTAAGAGTAATAGCTTGTTCAAACTTTATGCAGTTTTGTTTCCTACGAACTTCACGCTCGTTTGACTTATTAAGGTTCAAGATTTATACAACAGCAACTGTCGTTTTAATATAACCTTCATAATAAACGTAAACGCGCAGCTTCAGTAGATTCTGGTTCGGCTGTGAGGCAGAAGTGACAGATCGTTCTGCGCGAGCCGTATTTATTCCATAGTACAAAATTTTATCACCCATAGCATGATCGTCATTTTCATCCGAAACTCACATCGCTTTTGCGCAGACATGACTCTCGGCGCCGATCTCACCTTCTACGCGTGCCTTCTCTTTTGTTGGCTGATCTTCTTGTGGGAATTTTACCTTTCATTGAGACAGGTACGTCTGCTTGCTAAGTAGTGCGGTACATCTCAGTGTCGACTCTCTTGGTCATTGTTTATTTCAGTTCTTCACTTATAAGCGCACCGTGAAATGCCCTGAAGAAATGCTGGAAATAATGAATGACGAGCA